ACATGAAAGTAGTATAGGTAGTACACATCTAACATTTCGGTTACATCTATTTGAATGAAAAAAATGGCAACTTAAGAAGCACATAGGTCACTTATCGACGGTGAAACTACCAAACCACGTATCTCGGTTTGCGACGTCGCAGACTTCCTGTCATACTTTTTTTTTTAAATGAAAAGCTACTTAACGTCCAGTCTTGAAAATTTCCGTGATTTTTCCTCTTCGTGCGGAGAAAATTCTGTGAAAATTTCAAGGAATGATATTGATTTGGTCTACTTCAAAAAAATAAAATGTGAGCGGAGATTTTTAAACACCGCAAACGAGATACGTGGTTTGGTAGTTTCACCGTCGTTATGATGCGTATTCGGGCATATGCGTAGAGTAAAAATATCATACTTTACGCCGAAAAGACGAAACTGAAAGTTAAATGCGTTAACTTCCAAAAACCATACATAATCCAACGAAAATAAATAATTGGTAAATAACAGCTTTCTTGTGTGCAAAGAAAAAAATTAAAAATGTTAAAAAAGAGATGTCGACACAAAATTACATAGCCCCTTCAATTCTGAAGATACTACAAACGAACTGTACCTTAAAATTTTCATATCTCAGAAGCAAAAGTTCCCATGACGAATATTGCTATCGCTAGCGATTGCAAAAACCAACTTGTTTATTTTGTAACGAGACACTTAAATGATCTATTACAGTAGAACTGTAATGAAAAAATGCGTGCATATGCAGAATAAACTTATTACTCGATTTGGTTTTTATACATTGACGTTGGGATCTACATGAAGTATTTGCCGTCCCTTCTTTTAAATAGTTCAGAGCTCAACATACTTTTTTATAAAAACATTTTTTTTTTATTTTTGGAGGGGGGAGGTGCACTAAAATTTACGTCATTCTTGCTCTGATATGAAAATTAAAATATATGAATCCCTGTTTTATCCCGGTGACCTCCCGTATCTTTTAATTTTATGCGGTTATGCATTTACATTTTAATCGACTAAAAATTGATTCTCCTGTACATATCCTCCCGAGGTCCAGTCCCTCTCGATCTCTTAAGTTATGCAACCCACTCTCTGTTTTATTTAGATTCTTATTCTGAGCGGGATGAAATAAATTGTCTGCTATTTTAATGATCAACATTTCAAGCCTTGATGTCTCAGTTACTCCATACATTTTTGTTCATCTCCTGCGTTTAGATCAGTGAATATGATGCTACCAGACCCTCGTTACAGGCTAACTTCCTACCCAAATATGCGTTTACTCTTCTTTATAATAATTATAGCACTGGCCATTCGTGAGAGGTGGGCATTTCTTGACAATCATGAAGACGAGCCATCTCATACAGAGAAAAAAGACAAAGAGCTTGAGCCTACTTACAAGTACAATCAGCCGGCGTACCTTGATCGACATCTGCGGACTGCCGCGGAAATCGAGGAATGTTTGAAAAAGAACGAAATTATTCCAAATTTCTTCCCCATCTCTCCTAAATACGAGGCATTTGTGATTACTTTCTCCTTTTCTTTCATTCACAGGAGTACATATTAAAGTAAATAAGGTATTTTACGTGTGATGTCAGAATATGTAGAGATATATTTTCTCAATAAGTGAAACAGGTTATGGGTGTATAGAATTTCCAAAATTTAAAATGCAATGACATGAAATTTGCAAATAATGTACATTCATCTTCGTGTTATTACTAAAAACAGATTGTAAATTCTTTCGTTAGCAATAAATATCGCGTATAATGAGGGTTTGAAGGAAACAATTTTGGTGTTTTCTTTACTTTTTCTGTTGAATGTAACCAGGCAAAATAGTTCCTCGTGTTAAAATAATCAACCGAATATCTGTCATTTGTCATCATGCCAGTTGGCATGTATCTGCCCATGTAATTGAGTGAAACATTTTCTCACATTAAAACAATGATCATTTGTCAGATTTTTAAAGCAGGCCTGTAAGCTACAACGAAAATCGACTTGATGTCAAATCTTATTGGAAATTGTCCATCTTCACTTTCGTACTCATTATTCTTGATGAAATTTGAGGAATAATATTTTAAGGTTAAAGCAGCCAATTTCATCATATCAAATCTATTGATTCCAGGTAACATTCGAGGGTGGTATAGAGCCAAACATGGGAAATGTGATAAGACCGGAACAAGCTTGATTCGGTCCGCATACAATCGCCTTTAAATATGAACCCGACCGCTACTATTGCATTGTCATGACAGGTGAGAAATAATCCGTCTAGTTTCTTCTGAATTAATGGGACAGCAGTAGTGATATTCCACTATTTCAAAGCGGTGCCTGAGACTTTATGGTCATTATTATCTTTCAGGTCACATCTTCTAGGTCAGATTCAGGTTCTATGGTCAAAGGAGTGACATTCAGTTATGTTTATCTCATGACGTTTAAGAGCTGAATTTGAGGTAAAACGCGTTTATTTAACTATGCATTAATTTCTGTTCAACGAAGGAATACATGCTGGGAAAAATAGTATAATTATTAAATTTTCTTTAAATAATTAAACAAAAATTGATTTTGTCATCGAAACTGAAGTAAAGCGGTTCTTTTTAACTATATGCATCACTTCAAACCTCAGCCCAAGCTGTGCACGGAATCTTACGTAATAGAAGTCTCATCTCTTTTAAACATTATCACTGATAAATTAATAAGAAATTCTGCCACTATTTTGCTCCTCCTAACATCTAATAAAATGCTTTGAGGAATTTATTATATGTTAACTTAAAATATTTCTTCGAACTACAAACACTTCCTACCTGCCCGGTTTTCAGTCTTTATTGCGAACAATTATTAAAATGTTTTCAATGAAAATAGGTCTCGATGAGCCTCCCAGAACAATCCGACCGAAAGAGAGTTTCTTCATTGGATCAGTGGGAACTTTATAACTGATAGCTTTCTAGCAGGAGATGACATAATCCAATACTACCCCATCTTACAGAAAAAAGACACATAGGTAATTCATTCAACAGATTTTCCATGAGTGTGGTCTTCGCACGATTAGAAGTATTTTAAAAACAGGACGATATGATTTGGAGATTGTAGACATAGAATTTGGACAATAATGACTCTTATTTTCATTTTTCTATTTTTTAGTTCAGTTTAAACCAGTCCGTTAGTATAAGTAAGTATTTTCCCATTGAATTATACTTCAGGTTTGTTTTAAATAACAACCAAAAACTATGATTGTTTTGGACAGTCACCTAAATCAGTCAATGCTGATGATGGCATGCTAGATTTCAAAGGTGCAGACTCCAGCCAAATGCTCACGTCGTTGAACCACTTCCAAAAAAATTAAAACTGGCTTCTTACTTCAACAGGGCCTGGGTATTTTTAAGATCCTATGCATTTCAGTCATTGACCATTACACATCAGTTGATGCAAAATCTATTACCTGTACTTTTAGTGTCAGCCTTAGTTACTTTGATGTGCTCATTTTTTACAGGGCTTCACCGATATCTTTTCCTAGTTTATGAACAAAAAGGAAAAGTTGAGTTTAAGAAGCCTCCATTAACTGACAGGTACGTGTATGACACAACAGCAATAGCAAGCAGAGAAAACATCGATTTGCCTAATACTGGACAAGTTTGCTCATCACTTTTTGCAACAGTGACTAGGTCACCTCCTTTAATACTACAGCCAATGTTGAAATTTAATTTTTAAGCATTTTAAACAATAGAATTGCAAATGGGAAATGGTTCAGCACTCTGATTGACCCCCTCTTCCCCACACTGACTTACAAGTTTTCACAGAGACCGACGGTGAAGAATAATAAAAGACACTAAGCTACATATTTTGCCTCCAATTAAATTAGAATCAAATAAAAAAAAATAAATAAAATAAAAAACTGTACAGCCTTATGAGCTGAAAGATGCATGTGAAACATTGAGACTTCATCATCTCAATGTACGCCTGAGTTCATATAAGTACTTGAACATAATCAAATGAATGTTCCACTGATAACTTTTAAAGAATTGTTAATTACAATTCCAATGTTACGTTCATCTGAAATGACACAAACCAATATACATACATTTATGCAACTTTTAGTACTAAGAATTTTAATGATATGCCTCGTAGATGTTAATATCCAGTATTATTAACCTTCTGAGTAAGTCTGTACCTACTATTCTGCTTTCGTTCAACCATTATATCTTAATAAATACGATATTCTGTTACTAAAATAAAGACGTATCACGGACATTATCTTCCTCTGATTTTTATATACTTGTTTTACTTTTTTTTAGGAATGATTGGGGCCGAGCAAATTGGTCGAGCCGAAAATTTGCGGAAAAATATAACCTTGGGGAGCCATATGCAGTCAATTTTTTCTACAGTAAATATACGAATTTAACATTCCTTCCAACCGCAAAGGCTTACCTGACATCCGAAGTATATCCTGCCGTTTCGACGATTAGGAATCAGATTTAAATAAAAAGAAGTTTTTTTGGAGCTATTAAACCTGTCGAGCTAAAATAATAATGAGATGATATTGTCATGGGAACGGAGTTCCCCATGATATTAGAATCTTTCCGTTGCTTTCGCTATGGGATTCCCTATACCTCTGCGACCTTGAGCGTTTCGCCCAGTCTCCGATTTTTGGTTGATTTTCCGATGTATCAAAAACCGTTGTATTTTTAGTGTATTTTCCGAAGGAAATACACTATTGCATTCTCCCATGATGTCGGACCCAGACCTGAGACATTGTGAAGAGCACCGATCACGGGTCGTAGATCACGAAAATATATGCTATTCAAATTCATGTGTATATATATATGNCCACGAAGTTCCGTTTTTAGGCAAATTCTTTTTTTTGGGAGGTTCTCATTGGTTATTTTTCGCCATCAGTTTTCTGTTCGTTGGCGCAAAAGATCGCTTACCTCGGTGTTCTTGAGAAGCCGCCATTATCCCACCTCAAATTTTAAACATAGATATAAAGAAATAATAACCATCGTACAAGGTGGAAAATTGCTCTGGAGGACCCGTTACGGATATATGAGCCAAAATCAGAACTCGATTGATGGATTTAATCCATGATTACAGAAATATTGCCTCAGCTTACTGCCGCGATCGCAAATCCATACTGAGATGAACCTTGTGACGTATGACAGCATAGGTAAACAATGTCTCACAGAGTAATGCGCTTTAATCCGATGTCTCTTATGACGCCAGTGGCCGAACTGCCGAAATCTAAAGGTCGTCTTTTGTGAAGCCCCGCTCAGCGTCCGAGATCACTTAACTGTGCTATTTTCTCCCGTCGCTCTCATACGGCGAGATGGTTCAGTCAGCAGAGACACCATTCTGACGTCGGGTAAATTTCACTTTTTGTGCGAGCGGGGGTTCGAATCTCGCAGGGGACAGTTAATTTTTACTGGTTGTATTGAATGTTTTAGACCAATCATCAAACAATAATTAATACTTGGCAACTTAAGAAGCACATAGGTCCCTTATGATGCGTATTTAGGCATATGTGTAGAGTAAAAATATCATACGTAGGGTGTCCCAAAAGTACCGGGACTGGTTCTGTAACTTCAAAAGTAACATAGATACAGACATGATTTTGGTCTCATTTTAAAGATCAACTCAATACCTATCGATTAAAACCAAGATCAGCTCAATCGGATACAAATTGACCGAGTTATGACAATTTGAAATTAGTGAGGAAAGTTTACCCCTACGGTTTTTAGGAAGATTTTTCGCTTAACCAGGATTCAAAAAGTTAATATTCGTATCCACTTTCCTCCGAATCTTCCATAACTTCCTTTTGCTTTTCAAAGTACCGTCCATCAAACCGGATGCACTTTTTCATGCGCTCTTGCCACTTATACAACATTGTTTTCCTGAATTCTACCTCTGGGATGGCGTTGAAAAAGTTTTGAATTGCATTCTGGATTTTGGTCTTCGATTCGAATCTTCGTCCACGAAGCTCCTTTTTAAGTGTATGAAACATCCAAAAATCACATGGAGCCAAGTCAGGGCTGTAAGGGGGATGAGGGATTGTTTCAACTCCATTTTTACTCATAAATTCACGTGTTAAGCTCGATGTGTGAGGCCGCGCTTGTCTTGATGGAGTATCCACGAAGCTTTCAAGTCCGACCGTTTCCGGGAAATGTGCATTCTCAACTCCTTTAGCACTTTGCAATAATACGCACTGTCAACTGTTGTGTTTGGTGGTACAAAATGTTGATAAATGACATCTCGAAAATGAAAAAAACACAATAAGCATCACTTTATAGGCCGACTTTTCGATTTACGGCGATGAAGAATCTTCCTTAAAAACCGTAGGCGTAAACTTTCCTAGCTGATTTCAAATTGCCATAACTCGGTCAATTTTTATCCGATTGAGCTGATCTTGGTTTTAATCGATAGGTATTGAGTTGATCTTTAAAATGAGATCAAGATCATGTCTGTATCTATCTTAGTTTCGAAGTTACAGAACAAGTCCCGGTGCTTTTGGGACACCTTTTGTATACTTTACGCCGAATAAGCGAACCTGAAACTTAAATGCGGTAACTTCCGAAAACCATAAATAATCCAACGAAAATAAATAATTGGTACATAACAGCTTTCTTGTATGCAAAGAAAATAATTAAAAATGTTAAAAAAGAGATGTCAACACAAAATTACATAGCCCCTTCAATTCAGAAGATACTACAAACGAACTGTACCTTAACATTTTCATATCCCAGAAGCTAACGTTCCCATGACGAATATTGCTATCGCTAGCGATTGCAAAATCCAACTTGTTTGTGCTTTAATCGGATATATTAGCAATCTAGAAATATTTTAAGATCTTGGTAGTTGTATTGCTGAAGTCCCCTTCCATTGAAAAAGGTGATTTTACACAGCAAACTCAGCACTAGCAGGTTTTTGAGCGGTCATTTGGATCATACTCAACGTTGAAATATAATTGTGATGTTATACCCATTTCAGTTTAGCGAAGAGGTACCCCAATGATTATCAAGACATTATGATAATTTTGCAAAGTTTAATTTAATATTTTTCTTAATTTTTTATGAAAGTGTCTGTATAAATAATGATTAAAGAGAATACGTTATAAATGAATAATTTTTTTACATCCTACCACGTAATAATTTGAATACAATTTTCCTTCGAGACTGACGATAATTTTCAGGAATCTGACAATGTGATCGACCAAACCCTTGGTGAACTTGAATCTCAAAAGTGGGATGCTACGTTGCTACGTACAATGTTCATGGTAGACATCAGTAATCATTAAGTTATCAGCATTATTCCACTATTGACCGAGGCATCAATGAATTATCAATCATGTTATGTCATATAGGAAGACGTAACATTTTTGCTCAATCTCTCCGAGTGCAAAAAAAAAAAAAAAAAAAAAAAAAAAAAAAAAAAAAAAAAANAAAAAAAAAAAAAAAAAAAAAAAAAAAAAAAAAAAAAAAAAAAAAAAAAAAAATCAACTAAACTTGATTTAAAATGTGTGATTCCAATTTTACGCTCCTCCCTTACTTGGTGTGCTCTGAAAATGTCATTCTTGTTACACAAAAACCGGAATTTCAATCAAAGGAATTTTGACGATACTTAATTTAAACCACTACAATGTGTGTGAGCTCGTGCTTCCAAGATGATACTCTGAATATCATGCATTATTTTCTTTGCTATTTTTCGATTTGACTTTTTTGTTTTTTCTTATAACCCGCTGTGGGAAGTGAGGATTGGTGGTAGCAAGGAATGTAACCAGAGTCCTAGAATAATGGTTCGGAGTATCTTCAGAGAATTCCTGGTGCATTTTCTTCACAGAAGACTAATTTCAATTTACACTTTTGTCATTCTGTGCAACTGGTTGATAGATTTCGGACAAGCTCTGAGTCCGCCTGCTTATGTCGAGTTTAGAAAGGAGGCTGAGATGAAGAATAAATTGCTGGAAAATGCTCTCATACCAGAATTACTAAAAGAACCACCGAAACACGCAGCCGAGGTAAAATAAGCACTATCACAGTATTTTAGTTTTAATAGTTATCGTTTGCTTTGCTATATACATGCGATATAAACGAGATTTTTTTTTTATGGAGAGAGTTATAAACTTATGAAATAGTAGAAGAGGGCAACTACTTGTTTCTTCTTCTACGACTTATTTTACTTCTACTTCTACTTCTTCTTCCACTTCTTCCTCTGATTCTTCTTCTTCTGGGTGCATAAACATGTCTCTCCTACGACGCAATCTGGTGCTTTGTGACATCTAAAAGCCACAAATACCTATCTCTCCAAAAGTAATTGGGAAACTGACATCTTTAAATCTCTTCATCGATACCCTGCATGTCAAGACAACAGACATACCGTCGTGCACGATGTTAGGTTACTGGTTACTGTTGACCTAACCTAGGTATCTTACGAATCATTTCATTGCGGACACTGCCTCTTCTTAAGATGCCGGCAGATATCAAGGTAAATGAAACGTAGGCATGCTCTTGTCGACCCCTTTTGCCACGGGGTATCCTTTCATTCTCGCCACCAGAATTGTGGCGCAAGATTAGCATTTCAAAAATTATGCAAATATTTGGGCAAATATTTGCAAAACCTGTGTGGATATAAAAATAAGCAAACAGCAACCTCAGTGAAACCTAACACATGCTTATTCTTAACGGATTTCCTTTCACTGAATTTGTCCATTTTTATCGACATCAGACGGTCATATTTGCTGTCGGCCGAGACTGCAAAGTTGTTGGTATTCAAATATCGCTCCACAGCTCTAGTGACGAAGGCAAAAAGCTGCGTTTTGGTCAAAAGAGTTGGCAAAAGTATATACCTACGTTTCACTCACCCTCGGCATGTCGACGGCATAAGTCAGGCAATCACATCTCTCGTTTGCGGTGTCGGAAAATCTCCGCTTCTTTGTTATTTTTTTAAAGGAGGACAAAGTGACATCATTCCTTGAGGTTTTTGCAGAATTTTCTGCGCAGAAAGAAGAAAAGTCACGGCAGTTTTAAAGAATTACCGTTGAGTAGTTTTCCGTTTAAAAAATAAAGTATGACAGGAAGTCTGCGACGTCGCAAACCGAGTTATGTGATTGCTGACTTATTTACACCGTCGATATGTTACTTCTTGAATGCTCCCTTTATTTGATTGAAAAGCAAGGCAAACTTGTATCACTTTCAACGAGAGAGGTTAAACAAATTATATCCAGGCAGCCCGAGAAAATACACATGCTAGTATTTATAAGAGCCTAAAGTAAACGCAATAATATTATTTTCAAAGCAATGACGAGAAAATTTCCGGAACTTTCTGATCACATTACGTATTCACATTCATAAGAAATAAGGTAAAACCGAACGTCTCTGATTGATAGAGTTAATTTTGATGCTATACTCTAGTTCTACAACGATAGTTGTGATGATTTTAGAATTTTCACATTTGTCTGGATTCCCACAGATTTATCCATAATATCAATCTTCGCCGGAATGGCCGTGTATTTTTTTCTGAGCAACTAACTTTAACAACTAAATTGTTCACACTTATTTTACTCAACTGGCCTAATAATGGAATTTTTCTTTGTGTGATGATCAATAGTTCACATTTCCTAGTGGAGCAAAGGCAGATTTTGGCAACAAAATACCTCTACAGCAAGTATCTGGGGCTCCAAGACATGTTACATTTAAGTGTGAACCAGACGAACTATTCGCGATTCTTTTGACAGGTGAGAATAGTTTTTCCTTTTCTTTATCCATTAAATCGTCATTACCAAGAAAAGACCTGGGTTATGAAAGAAACACAAAATAAACTTTACAAGTCTGCGCAAATTGCAATTAGATCTGTATATTTTAGACTGAAAAAGGGGCACTTTCACAATCATTTTCCAAGCTAGGCTCGAAAAAGCAAAAGAATGAGCAATGATTTTCCGATGCTCAAAATGCACGTCCCTTCGTTGGAAAACTTGGAACTTCAATCAAACTACCCATTAATTATGTGAGGCACTTATCACATCTTATGGATACGTGAACTTTCAGTTCCTAGCAGGATGGTGGGTAAGAAACTGTACAATGTTGAGTGTACTCGAAATCTGCATGAAGATGAGAGTGAAGCAAGAGGTGCATGTGCACAGCTTATCCCGCGATTGCTGTTCATTTTAGGTGTTATAATGAATTCAATAAAAATCATTTGTAAAACTCACACAGCAGTAGCCTCGTTGCGACTGCAGTAACGTTCAAGCGCCAAAATTTGAAAAAAAAAAAAAAAAAAAAAAAAAAAAAAAAAAAAAGTCGAATGAAATAGTGCCTATTTCTAATCATCAAGCGTGCTTGGAACTAGAAGTACTCTTTTTGTTAAAAAATTGAAAAAGGTACGTCTCTCAAAAAAGCTCGACCCTGCTTGTCAAGCTCTTGAGTATTGTCAATATTGTCAAAACTTAAAACAAACAGGAATATAAAGAAAAATACGAAATTACTGACGAGCCAGTGCTCATCTGTCGGTCTCAATTATCAGTCATCAATCAGTCTCAGTCTGATTGTACTAAAAATTCTATAGATCCAAGTCCTATTGTCATGGGAACGGAGTTCCCCATGATATTACAATCGTTCCGTTGCTATCGCTATGGGATTCCCTATGCCTCTGCGACCTTGAGCGTTTCGCCCAGTCTTCGATTTTTGATTGATTTTCCGATGTATCAAAAACCGTTGTATTTTTTAGCCAATCATGTCTCTATGTCAAGTTGTGTTGATTTCTAAAATTCGCTTTCAGCGAGTTTTTCTCCACCTTGAGATGTCGTGTCTGACTGGTAAATCTGCGCAGAACCACGAAGTTCCGATTTTGGGCAAATTCTTTTTTTTGGGAGGTTCTGATTGGTTATTTTTCGCCATCAGTTTTCTGTTCGTTGGTGCAAAAGATCGCCTACCTCGTTGCTTTGGCTGAGAAACCGCCATTATCCCACCTCAAATTTTAAACATAGATGTAAAGAAATAATATAACCATCGTACAAGGTGGAAAATTGCTCTGGAGGACCCGTTACGGATATATGAGCCAAAATCAGAACTCGATTGATGGATTTTATCCATGAATACAGAAATATCGCCTCAGCTTACTGCCGCGATCGTAAATGCATGCTGAGATGAACCTTGTGACATATGACAGCATAGGTAAACAATGTCTCACAGAGTAATGCGCTTGTTCCGATGTCTCTTATCACGCCAGTGGCCGAAGACCGCCGGAATCTCGAGGACATCTTTTGTGAAGCCCCGCTCAGCGTCCGAGATCCCTTAACTGTTTTCTTTTCTCGCGATAATTCGGAGCGGCGAGATGGCTCAGTTAGCTACGACGACCATCTGACTCTGGGAAGTTGTCATTTTTTGTGCGAGCGGGGGTTCGAATCTCGTTGGGGACAGCTAATTTTTACTGGTTGTATCGAATGTTTTAGACCGATCATCTAACAATAATTAATACTTGGCAACTTAGGAAGCACATAGGTCCCTTATGATGCGTATTCGGGCATATGTGTAGAGTAAAAATATCATACGGAAGGTGTCCCAAAAGTGCCGGGACTGGTTCTGTGACTTCAAAAGTAAGATAGATACAGACATGATTTTGATTTCATTTTAAAGATCAACTCAATACCTATCGCTTAAAACCAAGATCAGCTCAATCGAATAAAAATTGACCGAGTTATGACAATTTGAAATTAGTGAGGAAAGTTTACCCCTACGGTTTTTAGGAAGATTTTTCGCTTACCAGGATTNTATAAAAACCCTTCCTCAATTATATAAATTTTATATAAACGTTATCTTCTGAAAATATGAATAATTATTTTCATGGGCATTTTATATAAAACTTATATACACGATATATAAACTTTAGTTAAAATGGTGATTATATAACCGGTACCAATTCCTTATACGTTTGTTAGGAAGGGGAAAGTGAATCATGCTACTAGGGTCCTTTTTAAGCGTAGGAAACATCCAAAAATCACATGGAGCCAAGTCAGGGCTGTAAGGGGGATGAGGGATTGTTTCAACTCCATTTTTACTCATAAATTCACGTGTTAAGCTCGATGTGTCAGGTCGCGCATTGTCTTGATGGAGTATCCACGAAGCTTTCAAGTCCGACCGTTTCCGGGAAATGTGCATTCTCAAGTCCTTTAGCACTTTGCAATTATACGCACTGTCAACTGTTGTGTTTGGTGGTACAAAATGTTGATAAATGACACCTCGGAAATGAAAAAAACACAATAACCATCACTTTATCGGCCGACTTTTCGATTTACGGCGATGAAGAATCTTCCTTAAAAACCGTAGGCGTAAACTTTCCTAGCTGATTTCAAATTGCCATAACTCGGTCCATTTTTATCCGATTGAGCTGATCTTGGTTTTAATCGATAGGTATTGAGTTGATCTTTAAAATGAGATCAAGATCATGTCTGTATCCATCTTACTTTCGAAGTTACAGAACAAGTCCCGGTGCTTTTGGGACACCTTATGTATACATTACGCCGAAAAAGCGAACCTGAAACTTAAATGCGTTAACTTCCGAAAACCATATATAATCCAACGAAAATAAATAATTGGTACATAACAGCTTTCTTGTATGCAAAGAAAATAATTAAAAATGTTAAAAAAGAGATGTCAACACAAAATTACATAGCCCCTTCAATTCAGAAGATACTACAAACGAACTGTACCTTAACATTTTCATATCCCAGAAGCTAACGTTCCCATGACGAATATTGCTATCGCTAGCGATTGCAAAATCCAACTTGTTTATTTTAGTTTTGGTGAAATTCAAATCAACCTCCTATTTCCCTTAAATGGACCCAGACCGATAGTATCAATGAGTGCCCGGAACATTACGGCTAGAGAACTGAGGATTGTGATAATCGTTACCCATTCAATTTCTTTGGAGACTTTAACGCAAAAGAAGGAAAATAAGCGCTTTATAGAAACATAATACAACCCACTTTTCATAACTACAAGATATTGTTAGGGAGCCACACAAGTTATCAAATGTTTAAGGAAACACAAACATTTTGATAAATCGTACTCATTTGCGTGAATATGTGTAAAAAAGGGTCGCGTTTCCAATCCTTAGGTCCCTTCATCAGCCACGACTACACACATATAATAACATACGACATTTAAAATCATAAAATTCTAACGCGTAACTCAAAACGCTTGGGGCGTGAGTTTGGAGGGTTGGACAGCGAAGCGGTCAGAGGGCGGGCGCAGCCGCCTAGTGGCTACAATGGCTCTGTAAGATGGAACTATTAGTTCGTCTCCGCGATTGACACTACAGAATTTGTTACAGTTTTTAAAAAATCGAAATTAGGTATACGTTTACAGCAAATCACGCCTTCTTTCAGATTTTGACGCTCCATCCAGGAGTGACCCTCATGAGCGCGAATGGGTTCACTGGGCGGTTGGCAATTGTGAGGCAAATTAACATGTTGACGGAGTGCAAATTATTGCCCCTCCTATGTTTCCAATTAATCCACAGAGAGGAACAGGTAAGCATTCTCCCCTATTTTGTTTTTTTCCGCATGAGTGAAGGAAAATTATGATCACTGGAATCCTAATCGGATACTTATTTAATGTACTCACTTGGTGGAATTTGTTGATATGCAGATTGGAATACACCGTAAAACCCCTTTATGTTTCCTATTACGTGTATTATTCTTAGGGATTGAAGCTGTTTAACAATTATCAATGATTAGCTCCTCAGGCAATTTGTGTAGAGGACAGGAGCTGATCTTGTATCCCCCCTCTCTCTCTCTGTAGAAAACTGCTTGGTCAGTATAAGGTCAATATAAGTTAACATTTTGAGCAGTCAAGAGAAGGAGAGGAGTGCATCTAATTTTAGAGCCAAAGGCAACTGAGCATGCCAGGAAAAGAATGGTATAAAAATTATAGGAATAGTAATATAAGATTAGAAATTAAAATTTTTAGTTGTAGAGCATTAAACAAACAGGGATTTTTGACTGCTCTTGAATTTTGGCGATTAAGAGTCAAAAGATTGAATTTGAGTGCGAAGCTGTTTTCTAATACAAGACAACTTTCAAGTATGACTTTTAATTCATGAGAGTTTTCAATTCATACTTTTAAAGTGTGAAATTGTGCATCTCTCACTTACCAGACATGATAACGGTGTACAATTCACCCACATTGTACGGCCAGTCAAGATCTATAGGTTCTTCGTCTATGCTGTGATATTCCAGTAAAGTCCCAAACTCTACGTTATCATCGAAGTATACAACCTAAGAATAATTATGATAATTTTGTTTTTACTTTTTTTAAAATACACCGTAAATGGTAAAAAGTATGCTAATATTTTTTCCTCAATTCAAACAATTCAGGTTTATGAAGCTTGGATACGATTTGAACATAGGCCTATCAGAAAGTGCGGTTTCTTCAAAAAGCTAAAAAGATGTCAACTGTTGGACGCTCACATTGCACTCACAAAGCCAAATGTCATCTTATTAATCCCAAACTTCAAGATTTGCAGAAGTACTTGCATTTGCAGAAATACCTAATACCATTATTGGACTTCATTTTAAAGTGCCTTTATAATCAAAGGGAACCCTTGGCATTTAAGCTTCAAACCAAACCACTCAGATTTACGTGAATCTATTTAGCGCTATGACTTGCACCTATTTCTCTGATTTTGCTGTAAATATTATATCTTGAAATTTATCTTAACATCCTACACATTACCGTCAATGGTTGTGGAACTTCAGTTAATAGAACATCTGGGATAATTTTTGTATTTTTCAAGGAAGCATTCCAATTTTTGAAATTTCGATTAAAAATAGTCTTGTTGTCCAGCATCCAATTTCTTCTATGAGGAGGTACGAATTTTCTTGCACGAGGACTACACGTAGCTTGGGACAGAGCACGTATTAGGGTGCATAGAAACCCATACTCACTCCTCAGCATCATGATGAAATAATATCTGAAAACAATAATTAGTATATGCATTGCTTATTTTTGATAATATAATAGGTTAGTTTGGAGTATGGCTGAATCAAGATGATCGAGTCACCAGAGAATGTAATTTATAAGGAAGAAAAACCATCGCGATGTTAAACGGGGTTCTCTGGAATCAGAGAATCTCGAATGAAATTAAACGGAGAATTTACAGCGCTATCGTAAAGAGTATAATTACGTACCAGAGTGAGGTCTGGCAATTGAAGAAAAGATCCGAGGATATCTTACGGGCAACCGAAATGGACTTTTGGCGAAGGTCTGCAGGGATCTCGCGGAGAGAGCGCGTTCGTAATGAACGAGTGCCAGAATAATGGGAGTTGAGAAAGATATTGTGCACGATATCAAAACCAGGCAGCTGGTTTGGTATGGACACGTGCAGAGAATGGCTGCCCAGAAAGGTTGCCCAGGATTGGGTTCCTCCCGGAAGAAGGCGGCGTGAACGGAACGTCCAGTAAAAGGTTGGCGGGATGGAGTGGAGGGGGAGATCAGACGGTGTAACCTGCTCGATGGTTATGGCGATTTGGAGTCGCAGAGCGCTCTAGTGCGCTGAGGTAGCGGCTTGATATGTATGTATGTAATAGGTTAGTAAAATATAGAGCTAAGCCCAGACACTACCCT